AGCATTGATAAGTTTTATATTGAGTCTATGTTGAAACATTATTTAGGATCTATTAGGTTATATATAGATAGATACATACATACATACATATATACTTTTTGAGACAGAATCTCACTCCATCACCCAATGTAGAGTGCTGTCATGTCATAGCTCACAGCAACTTCAAACTTTTGGACTTAAGTGATCCTCTTGCCTCAGCCTCCTGAGTAGCTAGAATTATAGGCAGCTGCCACAACACCCTGCTGGTTATTGTATTTTTAGTAGAGACGGCATTTTGCGCTTGTTCAGGCTGGTCCTGAACTCCTAAGTTCAGGCAATCCACCTGCCCTGTCCTTCCGGAGTGCTAGGCTTACAGGTGTGAGCCACCACACCTGGCCAATAGAATACATGACTGAGATTAATTTCACATGTTCTTTTTCCCCTATTTGATGTTGCCACAAGAACACTTTAAGTTCCACATATGACTTTGGCCAGCGCGGCTCTGGACCTCTTTGCCTACTGTGAGACTCCAGACCTCTCTCCCTTCCTCTCTTTCTCTATATCTGCACTACCAAAGACAATAGCCATAAGCTACCTGTTTCAATTTAAATTAATTAAAATCAAGCAAAATTTAAAACTGAGTTCCTCGGTCTCATAAGCCACATTGTAGATGTTAAGTAGCCACATGAGATTCGTGGCTCCCAAATTGCAGAGCCCCATGTAGAATGTTTCATCCTTGCAGAAAATTCTAAGGCACAGCACTGATCCAGGTGGCACATATCCAGGTAAGAGCCACAGAGGTGTGAACGCCCGCCATCTGGAGAAGGCTTCCACGGTGCCGAACTCTGTGGCGCATCTGCCTCCCGTCTCCTCGGGGCCTGTCCCTTCCTGCCCCGGTTAAACTTGTCCCTGCACACCCTATCTTTTCCTATCTCCTCCTTTCAGGGCTGTGGGGGTGCTTCTCTCTCCCTGAACACACCTTCCCCCACTTCCTCCAATACATGGTCTCCAACATGGTGCTGTGTACAATATAGGTACTCAGTCAATATGTTTTAACCAGTTGGAGTGGCAATTCCTAGCAAGTGATTGAAAGTATGTGGCCCAAGCTAGAGAGAGAGCTACGTGGCTGGTAGTGGGGGGCACGGGGAGGGGAGAAAGAGATGCCGTCTTTCCAAAGAAGAAGAGACGTTGCAGAGAGACAGCAAAGGGGCAATCAGAGGGGACAGTGGTGGTCTGAAGTCTGACACATTACTAAAATCCTTCTGCCCATCCCACAAGCCCCTCGCAGGCAGTGGCAGGGAGTTACTGCAAGGGAATTCACAGTCTCAGGCAACAGCTATATAAAAAGTGTGAAAGAAATTCAAAAATATTATTACGTGATAAATAAACACGCAAGACCCAGGAACGAGAAGTTGAAATGGCAGGAAAATGAAGGGCCTGGGGAGGAGGAGGGAAAAAAAAATGACAAATGCCCTGTCCCCGGGCCAGCTGGTGCAAGTTACATTTTATGAGCAGCATGTGAATTCCAGCGCCCTTGTTGAATTAGCAGCAGAATCGCACATTAGTTTTAAGGCTCCCTCTCGAATAGGAACATCATAACGTTTTTTAATTGGAGCTGATAAAAACCTAGCATTACTTGTAGGTTCCTGAGAGAAGTGAGTTGTGAAATTGGGTTTTCATTAAACCTAATGACGGAAAATTAAGTATAGTGCGTCGGGTGAAATGGGGTGTGATAAAAGGCATCACTTCTGCATTATCGGAGGTTAATAAGGGAATAGGTGAGGTGAGATGCATTGGCAAGGGGAGTCCAACTAGTTGAATTAATAAACCTTGAAAATCCCTCGGTTCTGAGTCTTTGTGGGGTCATTAGCACGGGCGTTGACATTATTACAAATGTTACAGCACTGCCAAGTTGTTAAACTCCGAAAGCTTTGCTTTTCATTCCAGTGTTGGTTTTGCTGACACCAAGTTTACAGTCTGTCTAGCAATGTGTTTAGGGAAACATCCATATTGATCGCTGTTCGGTTTTAGAAACATTTGGCATCTCACAAGAATTGCCAGGTGCCATCCCTGGGAAGCCTGCCTTTGCCGACAGCCAGTCTCCCATGTTGCTGGTGCCCCAGGGCCTTTGGGAGACTCTGTGGGTCTGGGAAGACCTCTGTCTCAACACATGATGGGGGGAAACATTCGTAGGGCTCCAGACACTGACGCTGGCTCATCCTCTCCTGGGAGTCATGAAGTGTGGCATCTAGAGATTCACACTCCAGTGGCCCTTTCCTCTCTGTCCCAGCCCCACTACGACATCATGGGAGGAAGAGTCCCTGGAAAGATCCTATCCATGATATCTGGGACATCTACAAGAAACAGGAGGAGTCTTTACAAAGAGGGATTCTTCTTAAACCCCTTCAACCCCTTCCCACTGGCCTCCAGGGCCTTCCACATTCACTGCCTTTCTGGGTCTACCTCACCTTATCTCTGACAGAGCTGCCCCTGTGACGTCTCCACCCACAGCATTTAGTCTACACCAACCATCTCACTGTTCCCTAAATGCACCTTCACATCCCAGCCTCTGTTCTTTTGCTTCCGATGGTTCTTCTTGACTGTTTTCTTTGCTAGACCATCAGGCCTTGAGAGTGCCATCTGTATTTTTCTCTGCCTTGCCACTGCCTCTCAGAGTCCCTAATACAGAGTGAGTTCTCCTAAAGTCCACCTCATGACCACAGGGGGTGAGGAGAAGGGAGGCAGCTCCCATATTTGCCAGGTGCTACATTCGTGCAATGCCAATGAAGACGCTTCTGCCTATAATCTGAAATCTCAGGAGGCAAAGTAAGCATTGTTTTCCTTGCCTGCAATCAGGCAGGTTTTGCTAATGTCTTGTCTAGGCCCTCCTCCCCTGTACACAAATCAGCATCTTCAAGATCTTTCTGTTGGCAATCCAGAGGGGACTGGGCTAATCTCAAATGGATGGGCTCTGCCTTGGTGACATGTACCTACCCCATTGAATCAGAAAGTGTTAGACATACAAGGGCCCCACCCACTAATTAGGTGTGACCCAATCCATGTCTCAAGTTCAGACCAGTCAGATGAGTAGCCCTTCCTCCCTTGGAGGAGCTAAAGGTGGGGGCAGGTGAAGGAATAGACAATAAGAACTGGCCTTGTGCAGCGGCTCACTCCCTTAATCCTACACTCTGGGAGGCTGAGCCGGGTGACTGTTTGAGCTCAGGAGTTGGAGACCGACCTGAGCAAAAGTGAGACCCTATGTCTACTAAAAACAGAAAAAAACTAGCCAGGTGTGTTGGCACATGCCTGTATTCCCAGCTATTCAGGAGGCTGGGACAAGAAGATTTGAGGTTGCTGTGAGCTATGACACCACAGCATTCTACCCAGGGTGACTAAGTGAGACTGTCTCAAAAATAAAAAAAGAAAGAAAGAAAATGAGAACGGCATCCCCCACTCCATCAGCAGACACAGGTAAACGCATAAACGACCAACCATCCCTGTTTTTCCATGAAGTGGGGGGGCTTGCCAGGGTGTTGGACTTTCAGTGCTGAAATGAGAACAGAGTCAAGGCCAAGTTGCTCACCTGGAAAGCATGCAGGCCAGGTGTCCCCTGCCACTGTCCCTTCCCATCCAGGAACAGGCTTGCTGATGCTGTCACAGAGGACCAGAGTCTGCGTTCACACATGGAATCTATGTCTGATGGATTGTTGCGATGAAAGAGGCAAATACACTGAAAGGAACATGGATTTTGAAAAGATGTGCTGCAAAAAATATCAGGGATATATGCCAAGCCTCCCAGGGCATGAGTGTGGCATAGGCCTGGGGGTCTGCATTGTTATGGTATCTGAAAACATCTGGGTAAGAAGTATTGATGCCGACTCTGGCAGTACTTGCCTTGTGCATGCATCAGACAGGATGATCTGGGGTGTAGACGGTCTGTGTCTGTGGGAGGAGGTTGGGGAGACCAAACCTTGCCAGTTTGGGGAAAGACAAACTTTCCCGGAATGACTAGCAGTGTGTGCCTGGCAGGGAGGTGGTGGTGAACAAGACACTGGTTTTACTGGTCCAAGGGGAGCAAAGAATTCAAACCCGATCTGAGTAGGTATCACTTCTCAGCCTTTTGGCTAAGGTCAAGTGAAATCCGAGTAGGTATCAGTTTCCAGGTGGCCAAACTAACAGAAGCAGTCAAAGGACCTTGTTGGATATAAAGGTTCTCATTGTGGGAGAATATGGATCTTCTATCAAGGAGAGATTTTATGAAGATGGGGTGTAGGGTCCAGGCCTGGAGGATATAGCTGCAGGACAGAAGGATGAAGGTCCGACTTCCCAACCAGCCTGGGTTCAAAGACACTCCTGGATGAATGGTGTTAAGTGCTGGGGATGCCTACAAGGGGAAGAAGATGGTCACTCTTGCAGAGCAACAGAGAGAGTCAGGCTGTCAGTAGATGCCCCAACAGTGGCTCCAGGCTGCCCTGATTGCACACCCTAAAGGAAACAAATGAGTGGCGAGACCAGGTCATGGGGATGCAGGCAAACAGACCAAAGGCAGATGCCCAGTTTTGACCACCAGGCACCTGAAGCTCTCCTTACCTGCAGGCAGGCATCAAAGACTGGGAATAGTCCCAGCCACCCACCTCCTAAACAGAAGGGCGCTCCTGGCAGCCAGCCCGTCTAGCTTCTCGTTGGCTCTGGGATGGCCAGGATGGCCCAGACTGCCCTTCCAGGCCTGGAGGAAGGGCAGACAGGCAGGGGATAACAACCGACCTGGAACTTGGTGTTTACCAACGTACCCCCTTGTACTTGAAACCAAACAAGGGTTATTGTGTCCACAATTGCTTGTTTTAATATTTAAATCAACCAACACAGCTGTGCTGGGGAAACTGTGTGTCTATCTGAGGTTTCTTGATCAGCTGCCTCCCGGGAAAGTCCCTTCTGCCCTGCACAGGCCATGCTGGGGAGGCAGAGAGGACACAGGGCAAGCTCCCATCGGTGACAGTCTTTCTGCCTCTTTCTCTTTGAAGCAGATGGCAGCCGCGGGGAGCTGTCCCAGCCCACCCTCACAATCCAGACTCACCCCTACCGGACCTGTGACCCCGTGGAGCTGAGCTACCCCCGGGACCAGTTCCAGCCCGCCATCCGGGTGGCCGACCTGCTGCAGCACATCACCCAGATGAAGAGAGGCCAGGGCTACGGGTTCAAGGAGGAATATGAGGTGAGAGCGGGAAGCCTCCTGCTAGGCTGAGAGGTGTATGTGGGTACTGCAGCCTTGCTAGTAAAGATGTCACCTGGGAACATGCTGGAAATGTAGCATCCCAGGCCTCTCCCAGCCCTACTGAATCAGAACTTGCATGTCAACCAGAATCTCAAATGATTTGCATACACATTAAATTTTAGAAGCAGGCTCGGCACCTGTGGCTCAAGTGGCTAAGGCGCCAGCCAAATACACCTGAGCTGGCAGGTTCGAATCCAGACCAGGCCACCAAACAACAATGACAGCTGCGACCAAACAATAGCCGGGCCTTGTGGCAGGTGCCTATAGTCCCAGCTACTTGGGAGGCAGAAACAGGAGAATCGCTTAAGCCCAGGAGTTGGAGGTTGCTGTGAGCTGTGATGCCACGGCGTTCTACCCAGGGAAACAGCTTGAGACTCTGTCTCAAAAAATAAATAAATAAATAAATTTTAGAGGCACCACCCAGGAAGATCTAATACCTTCTCTTCTCCCCTCTGTTTTCAGCCCTCCCCCATTTCATAACCCAGTTATCTCCAAAATCTCTACACTTTGCAATCACAACTCCCTTCTGTATGAAGATGGAATGGCCCAAGCCCCCATCCCACAAGCTGTAGAAAAGCCAGCATATCACCCTGCCAGCGATTCCCCTCATGCCTGCTCGCTCCTGGTCACCCCCTACCCTACATTCGTGTCTCTGCCTTATTCTCGCCCCCACATGGCAATGCCTCATCTCCATCTCTGGTGACTGCTGTCCCCTCTCTCTGAAACTTCTCCTCCCCCCTGCCCTGGGCATCCCTTTCCTTCCTCCCCAACGCATCTCTAACTCAAGGGTTTGCAGGTAATGGTTGTTGCAGGGAATGACAGAGAAGGACCGCAGCAAAGGACAGGAAGCACCTCAATGGGACACTAAGATCCTCCTGAGTTCCTTAACCATTCACCTGGTTGCACAGCCCTTCTGGAGGTGCTGGGCTGACAGCTCTCTATCCAATCCCTCCCCAAAGCTTTTTTTTAGTGTCCTCAAAACTCCCTCCCCCAAGGGCTACCCCTCAGCCCCAGCTCCAGAAAAAGGACCCCACATTCCCCTTACTTTCTTGTGCAGCTCAATTCAGCTTTCTCTGTCTGGCTCCTTATGTTTTGAACCCAGAAGGCCTCCCCTTTTACAAACAAAAAGCAAAATGAAATAGAAAGAAAACCCATGAAGATGTTTTCCTGAGCCAAAGAGCAGCTCCCTCCCCAGGAGTAATTCTGCAGCTCTCCTGATGGGGGTGGGATCCAGCTTCCAAAACAAGCATCCCTCTCCCTCCTCCCAAAGCGTCTCTAACTCGGAGGGTTTGCAGGTTACTGAGGTTTGGGGAATAACAGAGAAGGACTTTTTTTTTTTTTTTTTTACTAGTTGATGAACACTTTTTTTAATTTTGTATCAATACCAGGATACATACGGTGAGGTTACATTGTTTGCATTCATTAGGAAAAGTCAAGTTGTAACTGAATCCTTCTCCTGTGTTGTGTTCCCCTGTGCTGTGCCTGATAGGTGGGAGCTTACTGAACCCCTTTACCTCCCTTCTCCCCCTTTCTCCTTCCTGAATTTAGTTGTATTTTTCCTCCCCAGTGGTCACGTTTCCTTGCCCTCTCCTCCTTCCTTCCCTCACCATCTTTTGAGCATCCTCTCTGTGCCACGCTCTGAGTTACACGCATTCATTTTGTGTGGTTTGCTCTGTTTCTCCCCTTCCCATGCAGCGTGTGCCCCAGATATGCTTGATTCATTTTTACTCTGTGCAGCGAAAACTCATTGGCTCAGACTCCACGCATTTGGAATTCTTGGTAATGCAGACTAAGTTTATCCCTCCAACGGTATTCTGAGAAAGAGCTTACAAGGCAATATTTCAGACATCGAGTGAGGTCGTTAAGCTGTGCAACGCCAAGGGGTCCAGACAGCTAGATCCTGACATAGTGAACAGTGATGGTCTTAGAGAATTGTTTTGCTCTCTGAGTTTTTAAATTCCTTCTTGGTCGAGTGACGACTCGGGTAAGGTGATTTCAAAGGATCTGTCTGGTCCTAAAACTTTACGAGAGTATAAAACATGGCGACAAGGAGCCTGTTTGACATATTTATGAGAACAAAAATGTTTATGTCAACGGATGTGATCACCAGCTTGGGAGAACTAGCAGTTAGTTTCAAAAATGTTCTAAGTCAAATAGCGTTTTCATATACTCAGTCTACAATTTTAGAAGGACATTGAACTTAGAGCTGAAGAAGAAGATGTCATCCCATCCCATACCTGGGTTTATTTCCTAGGGGGCTGAATGGTCCCAGGCACAACACAGAGTGAGCACACTTTATACATGTGGATACACATCCGTGTGTGGTGTTGAGCAAATGTCAGGTAGGGTATGCTGTTTGGAAAGGCATATTTAATATCATGATGATTTCATAAGTCATTAGTCATAAACAAAATGGGCCTAAACATTTCCAACAGCATTAAGGGAAATCCGTGACTTATCAGTAAGGAAGACAAGCAGCCACCGGCTGGGAAACGCATGTTCTAACAACTTGCAATCTAAAGCTCAAAGACAGAAATACAAATGGCTTTGACGACTTTGGTGCATTTCGTTCCAGAGGCAGACGGATGTTTCTTTTCGGTGCCTTCATCCCTGTGTGGGGAGCTGCTTTTTCAAAATGTATTCTTTGTACTTCTCTTGCATTGCCCAAACTTTCTGGCGTGGAAATGAACAGCTCGTAAGTGAGCAAACAATCCTTTTTATACTATCATTTGAACCTCAACCAGAAATGTCTCTAAGTAGGCTAACCAGGCCCTCAGTGAGTTCAGATTATATTAATCAGCAATCTGGAAAGCTTAGCTTCCAGTTAACAGCATTTTTTGATTGACTGAGGGTCCATTGGAAATGTTCCTTAATGCAAGTCTTTCTACAGTCTGCTGGTTCACTTTTCTAGACTATAACTGGCTATGGCTTTGATCACCAGGGCTCCTGTGATGTCTAGAATTTTCATCCCAAGCCTAAGAGTCTCCTGGGTCTGCCTGAGGACTCCATGTCCTACTGGAGATACAGGACTGGTCCTCTTCTTAGTCCAGCCTGCCCTGTGCCGTCTGCTGCCTGTCACTCCCCCGTCCTGCTCAGTTTTTACATACATATGAGTGAGTTTGACAAGTTGAGGGACCACCCAGCTAGAGCAAGCTGTCTTCTAAAATGCAGTCCAGCTGCACAATCCCTTGAAGTTTGTTCAGCAAATATTGATGGAGTATTTACTATTGCCAAGGACTATTCTAGGTATTTGGGATAGAACAGTAAACAAAACAAAGATCCATGCCCTCATGAAGCCTGTAGTCTAGCAGAGGAAAGAAGAAATAAACATGGGTTTAAAAACAAGCAAATCACACACAGCATCCCTCAAGGTGCCACACACAGGGAAAATGGAAAATTATAGCTAAGTAATTGTAGCTTTATTTACAGAACATCCATTAGAAAATTTGGCCAAAGAGGTGGCCAACACCTAGAGAATATTTTTAAAATATTTTTATAAAATTTTCTAATGAATATTTTGTAAATAAAGGTACATTTAGCTACAATTTCCCATTTTCCTCCTGTGTAGGGTGACTTCAGGGGTGACTTTTGGGACGCCCTATATAAGGTAACAGAAAATACTGCTTGCTGCTTTACAAACTACCCCACATCTTGACAACATAAAACAGCCAATTTCTTGCACACCCTGATTCTATGGGTCAGGACTTCTGGCAGGCACAACAGCGACAATCTGTCTCTCCTGCATGTTGTCCAGAGCCCTGATGGGGAAAGCCCCGCGGCTGGGGCTGAAACCATCTTCACTCCTGTGTCGGGTGATTGATAAAGGCTGTCATCTGGCTTCAGAGATGATTCAGAGATGACATCCCATCTCTTAGCTGGCATTGTCCACTGGGGGCCCTGCACATGGCCTTGGCAGTGGCCCAGGCTTCTTTACTGCATGGTAGCCTGTGCATATTTCGACTTTTTAGATGGTGGCTCAGAGCTCCAAAAGTGAGCCTCCCAGCTGACAAGGTGAAAAGTGCATCCTCCATAACCTACACTTAGAGACCACATCACACCATTCCCGCATGTTCTATAACGTGCCAGTTATAAGCACATAGACTCTTCCCACATTCTAGGGAAGGAGAATTAGATTCCACATTTTGATGAGGAGGAGGAGCAGCTGCCAGATTCTAGAAGAGCACACAGGACAAGGAATATTGGAAAATGTAATCTTTGGATATACAAGCTGCTGCAAGGATGAAAGAAAAAGAAAGTAGAACAAGGAAGGGAATGAAATGGGAAAGCTTCCAGTATTAAGTAGGATAAAATGGTAGTCCTTAATGAGATGATAAAATTGGAATACAGGCATGGTGGAAACAGCTGAAGGAAGAGAGGTTCAGATCAAGGGAGTCACATACCTGGCATTGCATTGCAAGCAGGATCAAGGTGGCCAGTGTGACAGAAGAGAGTGAGCCAGGGGTGAATGTCCTAGGAGACTCCACCCGAGAATAAACAGGGACTTAGCCCCACGGGAAGTTGTAAGCCGCTGTAAGGACTTTGGCTTTACCCTGAAAAGGAAAGTCACTGCAAGAGTTTTGAGACGATGGTGCTAATGATCTGCCTTGATGTTGAAAGACTCATTCTAGCTACTGTGTCGAGAATGGGGCAAAGGGGGGCAAGGGTGGAAACAAGAGGCCACTGCAGTGACCCACGGGAGAGACAGTGAGGGTGTGTGGTGACAAGCGGTTGGACTCTGAATATATTTCAAAGATAGAGCCAAGGATTTTCTGCCACCTGGCATGGGAGAGGAAGAGAGGAACCAAGGGTAACTCAAGGCTGTTACATGGGCTATTGGGAGGATGGAGTCACCATCAACAGAGGTGGGGGAGCCTTAGGTAGGGTCAGAGCAATCAGAAGTTCAGTTCTGAGCACCTGTTAGACATCTCAGGACCTCGAGA